ATCGATCTCCGGCTCATCGGCCAGTCCCGGCTTGTCGGCCGGCGCCAGGCTCTGTTGGAGATGCCGCTCATCAACACACAAACTCACGCACACCACCACCACACCACACAACTGCATACGCAGGTATGTCCGCACACATACCGAGACGGTGTCGAGGAAACGCTTCATGTCGCCCTTCTTGGCGAGAATGTACTGGTTCATGTCGGCCAGGAAGGGCTCCTTCTGGCCAAACTCAACTGCCACACGAGAAGGAGCGTCCACAAGTCAACGTTTGTTTGCTTGCGTGCGTTGCTCCGTAAAAGCCTGCGAGAGCGTACTCAGGTTGGCCAGGTTCTGGAGGATCTTGGAGAGGAGCGTGAACGTGCGGCTCGCCACGAACGAAGGGAAGGCTGGTGGAAGTGGAGAGACGAGATGAGACTGTGAGACCCCAATTTCTATGGCACGCGCCTGTAGGGGGACGTACTGTCAAGGAGGCCGAAGAGCTTGGGTCCGAGGATGGCCGGATTGAAAAAGCCTGCGACGCACGGAACAGAAAATGATGAGAATTTGAGTTAAAACAAAGAAAAAGATATGAAACAAAACGAAGTTGTTGGTTGGTGTACGAAGGAAGAGGAAGCCGGAGACGGCGGTGTAGCGCGACGTTTCGTCTTCGGGCCACTGCTCGAGAATGGTCGTCTGGATGCCGTGGAACACCTCCCGGAATTGTCTATTGCAATGATTCACCGTGAGCTACACGCGACACGACAACACGACACGACACGACACGACACGACACACACACTGCACACACGAGCTGGGGGTGCGTACGCGGGGACGAGGTCGGCCGAGGCAAAGATGTCTTCGGTGATCTTCTCGGCGGTCTCGCGCAGGTGGGCCATGTTGTGGCCCACGTTCTCGCCCTTCTCCACCTTGGACGGGTCGACCTCGCACGACTTCTTGTCTTCGCTGATGGCCGCAATGTGCTCCTTGAGCACCCGGTGGAGGTAGGACGACCCAATGAGCTTCATGAAGGCGTCCACACACTTGGTCGCCAGCGTGTTGCCACGGAAGATCACGCCCGCGCTCTCTGCGTGCACGCCGTGAGTGTCACACGACACGACACGCACACGACACACGACACGCACACGCAGGGAGTGGCGTACTGGTGCTGAGGATTTCCTTCTTGGTGAGGTAGTGCAGGAGCTGCGTGGCCTTGCCCTGCGAGTAGAAGACGGAGACCAGCGTGGAGGAGAGGATGCCCGCCTCCTTGGTGTAGTCGTAGAGCCAGCTCAGCAGCTCTTCCTCTTCCATCAGCATCTGGGCCACAATAATAAATATAAACGCTGTGAGTGACCTGCGCGCGCGTGCGGTGATGCGTGTGCGGTGGTGCGTGTGCGTGGTGCGTGTGCGGCGAGGTTGGGGCGAGGAAGGCACCTGCAAGAGGTCGGAGTAGACCGAGAGCGGCAACAGCTTTTGCTCCTGTGGTGTGTTTGGTGGTGGCGTTAGTCAGGCCAGGCAGGCCCCGCTATCGTGTCACGTTGTTTCGCCATCGTACGGTGTATTTGATCTTGACGCGCAGGTCGCCCAGCTTCTTCTTGCTCTTCTTCTTGCTCTCCTCGTCTCCGTCCTCCTTGGACTCCTCGGCTGCGACAGATGCCTCAGTCCACCGCCAATAACGCCATTGGGGGAAGAACAGAAGAACAAGAAAGAAGAAGGAAATAGAAAGAAAAGAAAAGAAAAGAAAGGAGCTTGGGGTACCAGAGGCAGCGAGGAGGAACCACTTGGAAAGGGGCTGGTCGGCGGGGAGGTCGTGCAGCGGGATGCTGAGCTCGCCCATGAAATCGGAGCTGCTGATCATGTCCCAGTCCTGTGATTCGCGAGAGAAGGAGAGAATTAGAAAAAGTACTTCGAATCAGCGCATACGAGCAAAACAGAAAGACGGTGTACGGACCCAGACGGCCACTTGCAGGTTGGTGTCGCCGCCCTTGGCCGGCACCTTGCTGTGTGGTGTGTTAATGGTTGACTGACGAAGAGAGGGGGGGGGCATGATGGAGGGGTTGACGGTACAAGGTGAACTCTTCGTCCCACACGGGGCTGAGGTTCTTCTTGACGACCTTGGTCTTCTTCTTCTGGCCGCCCAACCGCAACTTCACATACGGGTCGCTGAGCCTACGAAGAACGAAGACGTCAAGCAGCGCGTCAGCGACGTTAAGCAGCCACGACTGCTCACCACGTCAGTGGAATGATCGTTCGTGAAAGGGAGGATTGGTACCCGTTGGCGTCCTTGACCGCAAGATTGCGGGCTTTCTTGACTGCACAGTCGAAGAGAGGGGGGGGGGCGACACTCAGAACTGTGCGCGCTCACCGCACGAAAGGGGGGAGGGGCAACGTAGGGGGAAGCGTACCCAAGACGGTGAGAGTGCCGTCGGTGTCGCCCTTGGGCGGCGAGTAGGTGAGGCGCAGCTTGACGTCGCCCGCCACGAACTCCTTCTCCGACATGGGCTGGATGGGGTGGAACTTCTCGTGGAGCTGCCCAACCACAACCACAACCACATACATGTGAGGAAGAAAATACACAAAAATTCAACATTATTGAAAGAATAAAATAATAAATAAATGATCAAAATCAAAAAATAAAAACAGAACAATAATAATAATAATAAAAGGCGGCCGTACCAGTTGGTCTTTGATGTCCTCGAGCGGAATGCGCACGCAGCCGATGATGTCGTCCTGCAGGTGATTGTCCTGATCCCAGATGGTGAAGAGGATCTCCTTCATGTCACCGTCCGTCACATCGCTGTAGGTGCAAGCAGCGTTAACCAGAATAGGACATGTACCAGTCGTGTGTGTGTGCGCGCGCGTGTGTGTGCGTGCGGGCGTGCGTGTGTCGTGCGTGTTGTGTGGTGCATGAGGACAAGTACAATTTGAGGTCATCGCCCCAGAAGGGGTTGAGATTCTTCCAGATGGTGCGCGTCCTATAGTGATGGTGTCCCGCCTGCACGATCACGTAGCCATCGGACTTGCCTGCATATCGTCGGCAGGAAGCAAGCAAAGGGGAACGTCAAATGGCACATCATCGCAGGTGTACACTTTGACAATCTCGTTGAAGTCACGGTGGGGCACACGGGCAGCTGGGAGGTATGCGTACCTCCGACGTCCATGCGGGGCAGCTCCCTGGCCTCACACACTGTTTGTCGGGGGGGCAGGGGGTGAGAAGCCTCACCACCGTCGTACAAATATACTTCAAATAATAAATAAATAAATGAATAAAGCACAGCGCGTGCGGTACCGGATATCCACACTTGGGCGTGGGTGCGGGCTTCTTCCTGCGACTTAATCTTCTTTTTGATTTGAGTGGTCTCAGCTGTCGCCTTGGTACGCACCAATGCACTCGAGGCCTTGCGCAGCAGCATGCTTTGTCGTTACTGTGGCTGTAGATCGAAAAACAGGCCAATTTCGGCTCATTAATTCTTTGATCAAATTCAACAAACGCCATTTGTCACATGGTTGCCCCCCGAGATGGTGAGGACGCGTACAAGATCTATGTTGGGCTGATCGGCTTTGGTTGCGGGTCACTCGAAGAGAGCTCTTGCGCAGCTAAGACGATGAGATAAAACACTTGCCGACTACCGACGACTTCACAGAATAGAATTACAAGGCCTTTCTCGTTGCTATCCAAAGCAGTCTTGAGCAACAGCTCCTTGGCATTCCCTTCTTCTTCTAGATTTTGAGGCGCAAAGATCATCACGTTGATCTTTTCTCTTGGGCCTTGTGTTTGCTGAGAACAGTGTTCTTCTTTCTCTTCTTTTTCTGACGAGACGCAGCGGTTGTGTGTGTGTTCTACCTTACTTACTGCTTCTGCTCGGCCTCCTTCTTGACCTGCGAGGGGTCCTTCATGGCGGGGAACAGCAGCACCTCCTGTTGTGGTTGACGACGTAGTGGGTGGCGTTAGAAACACATCGACCAAAGGAGGAGGCTACACCAAAGGGAAAGAAGAGGAAGGCGACGTGCCTTGATGTTGATGTTATCGGAGAGGAACATGGTCATGCGGTCGATACCCATGCCCCAACCGGCGGTGGGCGGGAGACCATACTCGAGCGAGGAGCAGAACACGTCGTCGACGAGCTGAGCCTCATCATCACCCTGCGCATCGAATCGAAGGTGTTGACCGGTCAGACGAACGTTTCGAAGAAGAAGACGACCGCACTCTCTCAACCGCGCCACAGACCACTCCGTACCATCTCCTTGTCCTTGGCCTGGGCATCGAAGCAAGCCTTCTGCCTCGCCGGGTCGTTCAACTCGGTGTAGGCGTTACAGATCTCCTTGGTGTTGACGAACAGCTCGAATCGCTCGGTGAGACCGGGCTTGGAGCGATGCCTTCAAAGACGCACAACAAAAGCAAAGCAGGCCTGTCAGCACACAGCGAGTAAAAGGAGGCTTGCTGCGCAGAAGAGGTCCACGCACCACTTGGCGAGGGGCGACATGATCTGCGGGTGCTCGGTGATGAAGGTGGGGTTGATGCAGGTGGGCTCGATGAACTCGCCGACGAGCTTGTCGAGCAGACGCGCGGTGGTGTGGGGCGGGGAGCACTCAATGCCGAACTCCTTGACCTTCTCGAGGAGGTACACGCGGGCCTCTGTTAACGTTGCGCGGCGTTAGATGGGGGCGCGACATAGATCAATCTGGTGGATGAGGGGGTGGAGTACGAACCCTCAGAGTAGAAGTCACCGCCGGGCACCACGACGCCCTTCTCGGCGAGGCCGTCGATCATAGACACCCTCCTGAAGGGGGGAGTGAAATCGATCGTCACAGACTCCTCGCTGCCCTTGCCCTTGGGGTGGTAGACCACCTTGTAGTCACCTGTGCGTACCAACAGCACGAGTGAGACCCGGATCGGGTGCAGCGTAACACGTCGGTGGCTTGAAAAGAAGGAAAAGGGGAGACGTTGGAAACGAACCAGTGATGGCCTTGACCATGCTGGAGATCATCTGCTCGCTGATCTCGAGCAGGTCGTGGAAGTCGGCGTAGGCCCAGTAGAACTCGCACGTGGTGAACTCGGGGTTGTGGGTGAGATCGATGCCCTCATTTCTGAACTGGCGACCGATTTCGTAGACACGCTCGATGCCGCCGACAACGAGCTGCTTGAGGTAGAGCTCGGGAGCGATACGCATGTACAGGTCCATGCCGAGATCGTTGTGGTAGGTGACGAAGGGCTTGGCCGCAGCACCACCTAGAGTCATCAAGCGCACCGATAAGCCAAGAATGCCACCCAGCTCGTTGATCCGAAGAAGCAGGGAGAAGTACCAGGAATCATGTTCATCATGGGCGTCTCCACCTCGAGGAAGCCCCTCTCGTCGAGGAAGCTGCGGACGAACTTGATGATCTTGGTCCTGGTGAAGAACGTGGGGCGCACGTCCTCGTGGTTGACGATGAGGTCGAGGTACCTAGGGTAGACAATACAAGTCAGGTGATGGGGAGTAGAAGGGACGGCATAGAGAAGGCAAAGAGGAGCTTCTTGTTGGGGAAACGAACGCACCTGTGCCTGAACCTCACCTCGGGATCGGTAAGGGTGTTCTTGGGCAGCATGTGAAGGCACGGGCACAGAAGCACGATCTTGGTGGGGGTGATGGAGAGCTCACCCTTGTCCCTGCCCTTGGGGTTGGAGACGGCGGGGAAACCGACCACACCGATGATGTCACCTAATGTGAAAGGTGGGTTAGGAGGCGCCAAAATCGTGCATCCAGAGCAGATAATGACAAAAATGCGGATTGCAACGAAAATCGCAGCAAGTAACGCAAGGTAATGCAGCAAAGAGGGAGTGGGTACCTCGGCGAAGCAGAGAGTGAATCTGCTTGAATTCCTCCTCGCCCTCATAATCACGGGCATCGGAAAGGATCTGCACGGTGGTGCCATCGCCCCTGAGATCGTAGAACATCAGCTTGGCGCCGGCGGCGCGCTTGAGCAGGACGCGGCCAGCGACGGCCACCTTCTCCTCCTTGAGCTGCTCGCCCTTGCCCAAATGGGCGTACTTCGCAACGAAGTCGGGCACGGAGATGTTCGTGTGGAACTTGTGGGGATAGATGGCGATGCCAGCCGCAGCGGCCTCGGCCAGCATGTTCTGACGATTCTCGAAGTACTTGGAGGGATCGACGGGATCCTCATCGACGAGGGCAGCCTGCTTCTTGCCACCAGTGGCAACGGCTCCGGCAGTCTTCTCCTTCTGCGCAGCAAGCTTCTCGGCCTTCTTCTTCGCATCCCTTTCGGCCTTCTGCCTCCTCTTCAGCTCGCTGCATGGTAATCAAGGTTAATCCATCAAATGTAATGTATGGGTGTGGCAATCACACGATTTCGAATCAGAGGAAATGAAAAAAAAAATATGTTCGTACTTCTTGCTGAGCTTCTCCTCACCCTCAACGGCGGGCACAGGGGTCGCGGCGGGCTCAGTGGTGGGCGTTTCCATTGCAGTGAGAAGGGATGGAGATCAGGGATCAGATGCGTCCTCGATGATTCACACTCGAACAAAGATGGCGAAGGCGGACTTAGAAATTTCTCTGTTTCGGAGTCTCGCAAAGTGCATCACCAAATTGGGGTAAATGGCAGACACGCGAGCTGCAGTTTTCGCGCCAAAAAAAAGGCGCCAAACAAGAAGAAACACGCAACCGCTGGCCTGCACGAGTAGAAAGACGATCGCTCAAGGGGACTGGAGGGCGATAGTGTGGTGTGAGGCATAATGGATCCATCGTGGAGTTCGCTGCAAGAACGCTGCTTGCACAGCATTGCCGAATTTCTCTGGCAGAGCTGTCTCGATTCGGCCAAAGACGATCTGCTGGACGTGCATCTGTGCAAGCGTAAGGTGCTCAAGAGCATCCCATTTTTGGCGGACGAGCTACGGGTCCGCATATTCGCCCACATGCTAGGTCGTGATCAGATTAATCCAGAAATAGTGAAAGCGCTCACCCTCACGGACGCCGATACCGACGCAAGCAGCCGGGGTACGCTTGTTCGGTTTCGCCTATTTCAAGTATTTAATAGTAATAACTGCATTAACTTTATCAATAGTAATACCAACATTATTGAATGACGCAGGCTGGTTACAGAGGCTTGATATGGGCAGTAAGGCTGGTAACAGGATGCGCCACCAGAAGGTACTCTTTAGGTTGTCATTTTCCTTGTCGTGCTTCTTGCTCACCACCGCAATGCTGCGCAGGCTGGCATGGATCGATGCATCATATCGAATCAGGGCTTAGCGATGGTGGGCGCCGTGGAGAGTCTCGTCTACCTCAGCCTCGCCAACTGCTCAGGATTCACCGATGCCGGCCTTGCCAACCTCAATAACTTAAAGCAGCTTAAACACCTTGTACGACCAACCACTCTTCTGCATGCGCGCCGGCTGGTTGAAATGTTGACACGCCATTCCCACATAGGATCTGGAAGGCTGCAAATCCATCACCAATGACGGCTTACTCTCCCTGCGAGATCTTGACTTGGTCTACCTCAACTTGAACGGTGCGCCACTCATCTCGGCGAAGTCATGGCGTTCTCCCTCTGGCAGAGTGTTAATGTGGGTCTTCATGGCCGGCTTCTCACTCGTGGTTGTGCTGCTGGATCGACAGATGTCAATGTGAGCGACCAGGGCTGCAAGACCGCTGCGGAGATGACTAGTCTCACCACACTCTGTTTGAACCGCACTCGTATAACGCACGGCCTTTACACCATTATTGCCGCCGCCTTATGCGCAGGTATTTACCATTCTATGACCTTGTGCGTGTTGTATAATTCATTGACATATCTAATCGGTGTTACCATTCAGGAGAAGGGGACATAGGCACTGACAACAACCGATCGCGCGACGATCAAGGCGACCACCCATCCAAGCGAGTCGGATTGGTCTCCCTGCAGCACCTCTTCCTCTGCGGTAACGACATCTTGGCGAAGGACCTGGAGAAGCTCGCGCAGCTGCCGTGCATCGAAACGCTGGACTTCACCGGCTGCACCAACATTTCGCCCAAGAGCGTGGCCGACCTCAAGCGGGCTCTGATCGCGAGGAGCTCTACTGCGTCATGCGACGTCGTCGCCGGCAAGAAGCTCCTCGTGAGATACCACAGCACCTTGGCACGACCGCAGACGCCCACGAAGTCCGCCGTTGCTTGCGATCCGTTCGCGCTGACCTCGTCGCCCATTGGCATCGCGTCGCCGTTCTCCTTTGGTCTCTCGCCAGTGGCCGCACGAGCCAAGAAGCAGAAGAGCGCGAACCCGGCCCATCTCAATAATGTCAACGCACCGACGACATCCGCCGCTGCGACGAACGCGTTTGAAGGCGAGTTGTGGTCGTGCGACCAATTCATCACCTTCCTCCGCAAGGGTACTCCAATCTCGATCCAGTTCCAGTGCAATGCAGTGCTTCAGACAGTCGATCGTTAACATCTCGACGCGTTTGGCAGGTTCTGTTGTTTCGTCAAACCACGAGCTGCTCGCGCAGCAGCGCAAGAACGTGAACCGACGGTGGTCCTCCCACAGACAGTCGGTGTCCGGAATCCATCTTTCCTTCCGTACGTACATGCACGGATATCCCGGTACGCTGGTGTCACACACTAACGGATCGCGCCAACACGCACGCAGGCGAGGACTCGATGACCGAGAGCGGCTCGCCCTTGTCCAGCTCGCACGTGACGGTCATCGCATCGCCATCACCTCAGCCGTGGGCCAAGCGGAAGCTCTACGACAGGCTGGCCAACCGCTCCCTCCTGAACGAGAGCTGCAGCAGCAGCAACAACGATAGTCTGAAGGAGAACGCGCTCCAGCCCACGGCCCCCACACTCACGCCGTCGCTCTCCGCCGCCACCACACTCACCCCGTCGCCCGTGTCGCTCTGTTCGCCGATCACCCCCATCCGAACGCCCAAGGCGAAGGGCAAGCCGGCCGCCTCTGCCTTCGACCCCTTCGCCTTCGACTCGCCGTCGCTGCACCTCATCGCCTCGTCGCCCTGCTCGCCGTCGCCCTTCTCCCCGATCGCTCTCCTGCCGTCCGTGTCGCCCTTGCCTTCGCGACTCCGTCCAGCCGCGCCTCCCCTCAGTGGCGAGTCGCCGAGTCCCTGCACGCCGGCGGCCGCGCGGAGCCTTCGTAGGGTCGCCGATTTCGCGTCGCCGTCCCCGATCGCCGCCGCTGCTGCTGGTCCGGCATCGAGTCGGCTCCAGCCCCGGAAGTCGCTCTTCGCCTCGACGCCGTCGCCCGTCAAGCCCAAAGCCTCGCCGCGCACTCCCCTGCAGTCGCTGTCGCCGTCGCCCCTCCGACCGCCCGCATTTCCCGCATTCTCTCTCTCCACGTGGACCACGACGACCTGCGAGGCCGCCGACGGCGAGTTCGATCTCTTCCACGATCCGTTGCTGCCCCCTTCGCCCCTGGCCTCCCCTGCTAAGCCGGAAGTGGTGATCACGCCGCCGCCACCCGCCCCTCCGGTAGTGGCGCGAGGCGAGAAGAAACGGAAGTCGCCTGACGAGGCGGGCGAGCCAGCAACGAGGCGGAAAGCTGGCAGGTGGAGCCAAGACGAAGCGGAGGAGGAAGAACGCGAAGGCGATGACGATGACGACGACGAAGCAGAAGATGAAGAGGGGCAACGAAGCGAATTGCTGCGGTATCACCACTCGACGCTGAAGGCGATGCTGAAGCGCATGGGCAAGAGGAACGCGCGCGGTACGAAGCCGGCGCTGGTGGACATGGTCATCCGCGCACGCAAAGCGCTTGCGGCGATCGAGAAAAAGAAGCAAAAGAAGAAGAGCGAAGCCCTGGCATCGACCGAGCGACAGGAGAGCGAAGAGGAAGACGAAAGCCAAAGCGACAGCGAAGAGGAAGCCGAAGGGCCAACCGTAAGCCCCCCTCGGCCGGCCAGCAGTGGCCCACAACTGCGCGAGTTAGACGGCTATATCATCATCGACGACGACGACGAGAGGGTGAGTCGAGGCCTGGTGTCTGGCCCCTCGACACCGCTCCCCACCCTCGGCCAGCGCACGCTGAGCTTCCGCGAGGTCGACGGCGATGATGGCGACGACGGGCAGGAGGAGCCGTTGCTCATTCCCCACATCAGCCCGAGCTCGAACGGGTCGTCGCCCCGTGCCTGCGACTTCGGGTCGCCACTGTCGGTTTCCTTTGGCGGCAGCGGCAGCGTCAAGCTGTCGCCGCACGTCGGCGCCCTCACGCCCGCGCTGCAGCGGTCGCGTTCGAGCAGCCCGCGAACGCCTTCGCCGCCGCCCTCGTCACGACGACAGATCGACATGTCGACGCCTCGCTCTCCCGCTAACCTGTCTCCCACAACTTCGCATTCACCATTCTCGCCAGAGACCTCTTCCTCGTCATCTTCATCTTCATCGTCGGCATCTCCGATCGCATCTACCCTTTCTTCCTCCACTTCCACGTATTCCTCTCCCAGCGGCTTCGCCGCCGGTTCCCTCCACACGCCGTCTCCGCGATCCTCGTCTTCGTCATCCTCTCAATACTCGGCTTCATCATCTTCTTCTTCTCTCGTCGGCATCGTCGTCGTCATCTTCCTCTGCTGCGCTACTCCTACCACCGTCGTCGCCGTACACGACTCGGACTTCGCGTTCTTCGCCGCCGAGGAGCCCCCTACGTCGAAACCGGCCAGCGATCGTCCATCCGACGCTCGCGGTTGCTTCGCCGGCGCCTCGAGTTGCAGCTCCTCTGTTCGCCCACTGTGACTTCGTCATCCTCTACACCATCACCACCACCACCGCTATCAACATCATTCTCATCGTCGCCGTCGCCCTCATCAACCGTGCGTCGGCCACCACCACCGCTGCTGCTGCGCCCTCTGCTCGCGGCGTCGCCCTCGCGGTCGCTTCGGGTCCCTACGAACGACCTGCCCGCCGGCAGCGAGAGCGCGCTGATGGAGGACCTCGATGTGTCCGCCACCGTCGCCACCAGGCGAGACGCCCACGTCAAGGGTTGCAGTAGCAACGACATCATGCGAAACGGCGATGACGATGGTGGCGACGACGACGACGTGGAGCGACAGATGGTGTTTGGCTACTTCAGCTCTCCGTCGCTGTTGCGCTGCAAGTCGGCGTGCGACGAGAGCGCCGTGGAGTCGCCATCGACGAGCCTACTCGGCGGATCGCCCACGACGCTGACGACCCCGGCGCCCGCCACGACTGCGGGTGCAAGCGCGACGTGGAGCGCATCGAAGAGGCGCAAGCGACGGACGTCGCTGCTGTGGGAGGACATCATCAGCGTGCACGAGGAGACCGCCACCGCCACCTGCCTCTACAACGACACCAACCACGTCCATCGAAAGATGAAACGAGGAAAGATGCAAGCGCTACACGCCAAAGAGGAATAGCATGAAATTGCAGTCGAAACGAAAAAAATTTCAACATTGTGTTTTAAATTGCTGAACGTATCGCGTTTCGAAACAAAGATCAAAATAACAAACAAGGTTTGAAAGACGAAACTCGAAAAGGGAAGTCGGTTGGGGCCTTGGCGACCGCTGGGAAGGCAAGAGGCCGGAAGTAGAGCACCAGTTCTGTGTTCGAGCGGCGATAGGTAGGTGGCTCGTTGAGGAGGGCTACGATAGGACGGTTGTAAGACCAACCACTTCATAGATGCAGGGGACAGCGACCAACCACTTCGTGGCTGGCGCGGATCCCAGCGGGGTTGGACTGGATGAAGGAGCCGAGGAGGGAGCAAGAGGGGGAGGACGTAACGACAGCGGTGACGGAGGGGTGGTTGGAGGCCAGACTGGCGGCGAAGATGGAGGAGGGGGCCGTGGAGGCGAATCGGCCGACAGCACCGCGCATTATTTGACAACCAATGGATTGGGAGTAGGCCAGGGTTCGAGCGCGAGCGATCTCGAATCGTTGACAGCGGCGCAATCGGCAGCGGCTGCGCTCTACGTGGCCCATCACAACGCGGCGGTCCAGCAGCTCCAGCAGAATGCTGCGAATGGGGGCGATCCGATGATGAGTGGCCTCAGTGAGGAAGACGAGATGTCCAGAGCCGCAGCCGTCGCGGCCGCAGCGGCGGTCATGCAGCAGCAGGGCTACAGTTCGGCCGAGGCCCTCCAGTATGCGTACCAAACCGCTTCGGATGGTGGAAGCGTCATTCAGTACCCATTCGGCATGGTACGTGGAGAATTGCACCCTTCCCGCAAATCCCTCTGCGATTCTGATTTGTTCTGCTGCCAGGGTCTCGGATCTCTGCAGTTGGCTCAAATGGGGTCGCTCCTGCAAGCGGGCCAGCAGTACGCGCTGCTCTCGGGAGCCGAGGACGCCGTCTACGTCAATCAGAAACAGTTTCATCGAATCCTGAAGCGGCGACAAGCACGGATGAAGCTGGAGGCCAAATTCAAGATCATGCCTCGCAAGGTTCTCCTCTCATCTCGCCCCCTCCCTCTTTTTCGTGTCGAACATCTGATCTCGGAAGCTCTCTTTTTACGTGCCCCTTTGCAGGAGTGGCTGCACGACTCCAGGCACAAGCACGCCAAGAACAGGCAGCGTGGGCCTGGTGGACGCTTCCTTAGCAAAGCCGAACGCGACAAGCTCGGGAGTACGCCTGCCCTCTACTTCTTCACTGTGCTTGCCGTCTTCACTCACGTTTGTGTTCGTTATGAAGTGGACGATGACTACGACGGCGAGGGCTACGGGGATGAGGGCGGATCGTCCTCGCCGCCCAACCCCACCTCCCCGGCTCCTAGCAATTTCGTCGGCTGATGAGAGAGTACCATCAAGCCTCATCGCTCTCCTCACTTCTTCTTCATCATCGCACCACTCTCTCGACACACATCACACACATTCATCCATCCTCTCTTTACTCGATTTGTAAATGCAAACATCTCCTTGGACAGTCTGTTGTGTGGCTTCGTGTTTCTTCTTGAGCGTTGTGTGCGTGCCAATGTGTTTGACGTTTCGTCTCGTCTCGTTCGGTCTTCTTCATCTTTACGCCTGGCTGGTGAGGTTGGCCAGGTTGTCGATGAGCGGCTGCACCACATCGTCGAGCAGGGCCTCATTGCAACGCATGAGCGCGTCCATGTTGTGGTCGCCCGCCATGTACCTAGTGCCCCACACGACATACGACGCAATACGCAACACGCACACGAATACGCGCACACGCACACACGATGAGTTTCGTGGTGGACGCACCTCTCAAGGGGGGTAGTACGCGTAGTAGGCAAAGAGGCAGTCGGCCTCGAGCAGTCCGTTCTCGACCTCGAAGTGGAAGCGGTCGAGCAGGCTGAGCTTCTCCTGGATGGCAACCCGGGCCTCTACGATGTCAAAGGCCAGCAGCTTCTGGTCCAGCTCCTTCGGGAACACCTTCCTGACATTGTTCAGCCCCACCATCATTGGATTAACATCATCATAGCATAGAAATGTTATCAATCCTCTTATCCTTGATGAAGAAGACGCTGGTAGAAGAGCTTGTTGGGGGGGGGGAGAAGAAAACCTGTAGCACTCAACGGGGGAAGGAGCGACACGTCCGCGAGTGGATGTGAAGTGGAAGAGCTCGTTTTGGGGATGTGCGGCTGAGGAAGAAGATGAGGAGGAAGATAACGTGGTGGTCATCATAGAAACGTCCGCTCGTCCCATCGAAGCGATGCACAGGACACAAACCAAGATCGCCAATAACGCCGCGGCGCCGCTTCCATGCCTGAGCCCCATCATCGTTCGAACTGATTATAAGTTGGAGTTGGTACCCAAGAAATCGAAAAGCAGTTATAAAAAATAAAGATAAAACAAAACGAAATAAAAGCCATTTAAATGGGCGCTTTCCTTTTCCAGCCGACTAAGCTCAAAAAAGGACCGTCTGCGACAGGAAAAGAGAAAATCAAAGAAAAGCAAGGGTTCGGAGTTTCTTCGGCGGTAAGAATTGTGGTGTGACAGTTTGCCGGCATACGGCCGAGCTGACCTCAACGCTCGGCACTTGTCGGGCGCACTGTCTTCATCCGCCTCGCTGTCCTTGCCAAGCGCTCTCCTCGTTCAACCAATTTTGATTATATTTATTTTTGTGCGATTTATTATTTGCACTTGCCTGAGAAATGGACGCGGAATCGAATCCGTGTCCCCACGTGACCGTGGACGACCACATCCGCGCCTGCATCGGGGGCTCCGTCGTCGGCCTGCTGCTCATCTTCATCCTCAATGCCCGGTCCATCTCCCGATTCCTCTTTTCCCGCCAATCTTCATCGACGATTGCCGACCAATCCAAGAAGAAGACAAAGTTTAAGAATGGGAGCGAAGTCGATCAACCGAAGGCCCATTATGCAGCGGCGAAGAAGGAAGTCGTGATTGAGGTGCCCGCCAGAGATTACAAGATGAACGTGGTGGACCACCTCATCGGGGGCATGCTGGTGGCCATCATGGCCATCAACATCTACACCCGCGTCACCCGCGGCGTCGGCCACTGGCTCGTACAGGTATGTCGTCTTCTTCTTCGTAATATTCAATGAAAATATTGTACTATATCATTGATATTTGCTTTTTGGCATCACGAACATGCGCGTGTCGTGTCGTGTGCGGCTGTGTGTGTCATGCAGCCGTGCCACTACTTGACGGCGCTGTTGATCGGAGCGACGTACAGCTCGTCGACCGATGCTCGCCTGTTCTGGTTCTACCTCTACGCGCACTGGCAGGGGTACTCACACACCGCACACACCGCGCACACAAGCAATCATCGCACGCGCTGACATGTGTCGTGCTGTGTGCGGTGCAGGTACTTTGCGTTTTTCGGCGGAGACCTGTCGTGGTACGTGAACGCGGCCGAGCTGTACGCCTTTTGGCTGCAGCACATCCTCATGGTGCTGGTCCCGCTCTACTACCTCGCCGTCGGCCGCTTCAACACCCGCCACAGCAGCTTCACCTTCTTCCTCACCGTCTACACCTTCACCGTCGTCTACCACAGGTACGCACGCCTGTGTGCGATCGTGCGTGTGTCGTGTGTGCGGTGCGTGCGATCGTGCGTGTGCGTTTGTTAACAGCGGCGCTGGGCGGTGTCATCGTCCAGCCTGGTGCTGATCCCCGTGGGCTACTTCACCACGACGGACTTCGACAACATGCTGTGCCCGTTCCCCGGCGGTGAGGACCTTGTCGGCATCTGGTGGCGCGAAGCCATGGGCATCTGTACGCACTCCCGATCGCACACGCACACACACGACCGCACACACACGACCGCACATGCACGCAGGACCTTACATTGTGAACAAAAAAATGCAGTCAGCTCGCCGTTCGCGTTCCTGGTGTGCTACGTGCCCGGCACGCTGGCCGCCTGGTTCTACTCTGCTCGGGATCGCCGACGGCCGACCGCCGCCGCCACCATCGCCACAGCCACCAAGAAGAAGAAGAACAACAACAACAAGGAGAAGAGCAACTAGTTCGCGCAGGCAGCAGCTGACGCTGCGTTTCTTTTTCCTATTTATTTATGAGAAAACAATTTTGAACCAAAAGATGAGCTCGTCGCCGAAAGACACAAAGATGGATCTGCAGATGTACTGGCACATCGACTACTGGGACGTTCCACTCAATGGGGTCGCCATGTACAAGAGCCGACCCGTCTACTTTGTAGAGGTGGAACCAGAAGCGGAGGAGCTCACCATTGACGACCCCGAGCACGAACCGCCGGTGGCGCCGCCGACCTACGCCCTCCACGCCCTCACCGACGCCCAGTACCACGAGCTCGAGACACGCCACGAAGAGTTCGGCCGGATGGTGGGCTGGTACACAGACCATCGGCCCGACATGTACGGGCCGTGGGTGGACACCGAGGCCGGCCGCGAGTGGTACGACAACGAAGCCGCGCGGCCGCTCAGCTTCGATCCCCTCCGGGACTGTCCGATGGTCGCCACCGTCCCGTCGTATGCTTTCGAGTGGTTCTTTGTGCCTCGCCTCTGAACATCATTTATTTAAATAAACAAAAAGGAAAAGCTAATAAATCCACAAATCAATCAACAAATCAGTCCAACGCGACAATGCAGAGGGAGCTATTCAAGGGTAAGGGTGCCATGGGTCCTCCTGCACCGAAGCAAGCATCTGCAGGCACAAGCGGTTCCCCATCACAAGATGATGCAGAGAGGTAGGCTCAATCGACTTTTTTTTGCTTATTTGTTTTATTTGTACAAATCCCCACCTCGGGGGGCAGCAGCGACATTTGGGCGGCAGATCTAGGCTGGGATCGATTCTTTGCCTCCTGCCAGGACGTGGCCATTCCCAACACCAACGATGTGCGTTCATCTCCGTTGCGCTACGCGGAGCGTTTTTGGTGCTCACGGCGTGGTGTGGGTGGCGTTGTGCAACAGGTGTTCAGGGTCTACTTCAGCGGGCCGGACGAGGGACCGCTGTTTGTGCTGCTCCACGGCGGCGGCCACTCGGCGCTCTCGTGGGCCGCCACGGTCGGCGCCCTCCAACAGACCGCTCGCGTCCTCGCATTTGACTTCCGCGGCCACGGTATTCGTAGCTTCATGTCTTCATGCTTGCTGGCACGCACACACACTGCGCACACAGCGTGAACGACTCAGCTTGCTTGCCCCGTGTGCTGCTGGCAGGCCACACGCACACGAGCGACGATAGTGATTTGTCGATCGAGACTCTGACCAGCGACGTCATCACTCTGATTCGCACGCTCTACTCGGCTTCTCCTTCCTCCCCTATCATCCTCGTTGGCCACAGGTGCGCGCCACGGCCCGTTTGTGTCTTTTTGTGTTGGCGCATGTAAGAAAACTCACACGTACTCTCTTCTTCGTTCTTCTTCAGCCTTGGCGGATCCGTGGCGATTCACACTGCGATTTCCGGACAGATCAAGGAGCTATCCGGACTGATCGTTCTGGATGTGGTCGAAGGTGCGTACGCCACGGCGTGAAGGGTGGTGGCTCTATGTCGTGCCCGAGGAGCTCATGAGATCACGCACACACGCACGCACTGCCAGGCACGGCCATGGCGTCCCTCAACTACATGGACACGTACCTCGCCAAGGTCCCTTCCTCCTTCCCCACGCTCGAACAGGCCATCCAGTGGACGTACGTTCCCAGCTTCAGCTCCGCTGCTCAACGCGTTGACGTCACACATTCCACATATCACCTCATTCCATTCTAAATTCCACAACAGCGTTCGAAGCGGGTCAGTCCACAATCTCGACTCGGCGCGGGTCTCGGTCCCGCCACGGCTCGTGCGCGACGAGTCGACCGGCCACTACGCCTGGTGCGCACCGTCGCTTCCCTCACCGTTCCCCCTCGCCCTCGCCTGACCGCCACACACGCTTGAAATTCTGAACCGACCAGGCGAACCAACCTGAACCTTACGAAGCACTACTGGGAGGGCTGGTACCAAGGCCTGTCCAAAAAGGCACGCGACCCACGCGACACGTCAGCACCGCAACACACGCACCCCCTTGGCTGGTCGTTGAGCTAACACAGAGCCGCCGCCACCACCGCCAGTTTCTGAGCTGCCCCGCGGCAAAGGTGCTGGTCTTGGCCGGCACCGACCGGCTGGACACGGAGCTGATGATCGGCCAGATGCAGGGCAAGTTCCGCGTCGTCGTCCTGGCCGACTGCGGCCACTGCATCCAAGAAGACGTACGACCGTCTGCCATCTCTCTTCCCTCTCTCTCTCTCTGCTTTGCTTTGCTTTGCTTTGGTCAGCTGCGCGTACATGTGGCCTGATTGATTGACAACCTTACGATCACACACTCTCTTCGCACACAGAACCCGGACAAGACGGCAGAGATCCTGCTCGATCTCAAGAAGCGATACGACATCATCCACAGCAAGAACAATACCATCCCTCGTCTCCACGAGTGACTTGCGTGCGCCACACACCCCCAGGGAGGCCAATTGTTGTTGGTTGTTGCACAACATTTTCACTTGGACCGTGTCAAAGTTGTCCGCGCAGACACCAATTTCGGGGTTGGTTGGTCAACAGCGAACAGCGGGGCAGTGACTTCTCTTTCGCTCTTCTCGCTCTCGCTTTCGCTCTTTCACTCCGGCTGCCAGCAGTATTACCACAGCGTTGTTGAGGTGGGGTCCATGGTACGTGGCGTTCTCTGCTGGCCGGCAGTGGTGGCGGTCCTCCTCCTCGCGGCAGTGTACGTCGCTTCGGCCGCCTTTGTGCCGCAGGAAGACTTCGGCACCTCGTGCGACGGCACCGCCTTCGCCTTTGTTTCCGACGACCACCTTTCCAACGCCCTCGCCATTGCCCGCGCTGCGTGCCTCTCCCCTCGACCAGTATTATTAATTTATTTATCTGTTATTATGTTAATAATTTCATTCTTTTTAATCCATGTAATACTATTTTTAGGGTGTTGAAGGTGCGCAATGGCACGGCGTACCCGATGACCCGCCTGGATGCGACGGTACTCCTGCCACCCAAGGGCGCGCCGCTGGTCGACAGCGCCGGCCGCACCCTGAACGGCGGACAACGCCTGCCTGTGCCCGATCGGGCGAATAAGCAGACCTGGCGCCGCGGCGTCTACAACCCGATGGCCGTGGCCTACCCCGCAAGGTTCGTTCTTTTCGTCTTCGTTTTCGTTGTTTGTTGCTCATCGCGCTGCGTGTCTTCGCTCTTTATTTGGTCCTGGGCTGTCGCAGTTGCGTAAAGCTCACGTACCTGCTCTCGGCGATGCACTGGTGCGAGGCGCAAGGGAAGCGCTACGACTGCCTAGACGAGCACGTGCGCCCGATGATCAGCATCTCCAGCAACTTCGAGACGGGCGTCATCGTCGACATCATCACCAAGGGTGCGGTGTGCGGTGTGTGCGGTAGTGAGTGTGCGGGTTGGACTGAACAACTGCACGTGCGTGCGGCGTGCAGCGCTCAACTATGAGCCGGCCTCGCTGGACCAGCGCTTCATGGAGTGGATCAAGAAGAGGAACTCGACCAAGGAGTACCTTGAGAGCCTCAACCTGCTCGGCAACATGAACCCTCTGTCGAAGACCTACCCCTCCAACTCTGGTGAGACCAAGGTTAGCCTTAGTGTTGGGTAGTGCGTGCGTGCGTGTGTGCGTGTGTGTGTGTGCGTGTGCGTGTGCGTGTATCCTAAACATGTCAATGCAGTATGGCGCTGAATCGTTGGCGATCGACAAGTACGGAATGAACCTCATGAACCCGGTCTGCTCTGCCACCATCATCCTCGAAGCTATCTCTGGTACGACGACCACAGGCACACAGGCACACGCACACGCACCACGTAAAGATGAGACTGCCAGCTGAACGTGATGATGACTCTTCGTGAAAAGGTGTCGTTCAGCCCGAGGCCGTCGATTACATCCGCAACCTGTTGCGTCACGAGCGATACACGGGCTACACGTCCTTCGGCTTTGGTCTCCCGCCCGCCACGGTCATCCGGTCCAAGGTCAGTCACGCGAACCTTCTTGACGCCACACCACATCGCATCTAAAGCTAAACCCTGCGTGTGCGGTGATGCGTGTGCGTAGATTGGTGACGCGTACGACACGGTGGAGGAGATCGCACACATCTGGCTACCCAACGGGCGCGAGTTCATCCTCACCGCCTTTTCCAACGGATACGAGCCCAACCAGCCCAACCCGTACGACGTCAGGTGCGCTCCTTTGTTCTCAATTTGTTTTTTTATTGATTTTGAAATATAATGAACATTTTAAATTAATTATAATACGTGGCCACCACCAGCGTGCTTGGTCTGTTCGCCGAAACCTTCCTTGAGAATGTGCCGGAGCTCAATGCCGGCCTGCCTCCCCGCATTCGCCTCGGTACATCAGCGCTCCTTCGCCTTTCTTCGGCTCTTACATTGCTGAGCGTCCCAACCTGTGGCGGCGATGCAGACGCCACGGACAAGTCGTTCTTCACCGTGGGCAAGTGGCAACGCGCCATCGCCCCCGGCACCTACGGCTCCTTCTACGCCTTTGCCAATGAGGGTGCGAACGTGAGCGCTGGCTGGGACGTCCACTTCGACGAGGCGGGCATGTACGAGGTGTCGGTGTGGCACCCGGAGTCCGATGGGTTTGCCGCCACGGCTACGGCCACGATCAACCACCTGCACGGCGCCACCGAAGCCACCATCTACCAGCGAAGCTAGTACGTGGCAACACACGACACACACGACACGACACTCACACACGACACACGCGTTCTTTTGCAGCGGAGGACGCTGGGTGTACTTGGGCGACTGGAACTTCCCGGCGGGCCTGAACAAGGCGGCCCTGGTCGTGTCGCCCGCCGAGCGCCTGTCGTCTGCCGCTCCGATCGTCGTCAACGCCGTCAAGTTCAGCAAATGGCCGTCGTGCCAGGGCGTCGTCGGCGCCCCCTGCCCGCTCGTCCCGTGATGGGTCATCGCCATCATCATCATTGCTTGATTGATTGACTCTGTGGACCACTCGTGACGTCGTTACCGTGCAACCACTTTAAAGCAAAAGCGCCTCCTTAAAACAACTAACGCCCCTTGCTTTCCATCACAGCCGTTACATTCCTTTGGGGCCATGGCCTAACAACGCCATACCAACGCAACATCGATCAGCTTAGTCCTTCTTCATAGCTAGAGCCATCAAGTTAAGTTCTACAACAACCACCTCCTTCTTCATCTTCTTCTGGGATGAGGAACGTACAGTCCCTGGCTGGAATGAGCCTCCATCGACGATCGGTCGACCCGGGCCAGATGAGCACGGCGAACAACAACAACAACAACAACTGCAGCAGCAACAACAAACACCACAGCAGCGGCTGGAGCAGTGGCAGCATTCCCTCAAGCAAGGCGCCGCCCGTGAACAAGGGGACGGTGGAGGAGCTGGACAGCATCCTTGACGCTCTTAGCTCGCGGCAGCGCCAAATCGACAGCAAAAAGTTCTTGCGAAAGGATGCAGGGGTCGCAGCTGCTCGACGAGCCCTCACCCCCCATCGAAAGGCAGTACCTCTTGAGAGCCTGTACTCCCCTCCCTCCATTAGATAATCATTCGAAAGCTGTTTCCAATTTATGTAATTTCATCTTTCAATTGCTCCAGGCGAACGGGACCCGAGTCGCCCTCTCGTTCTGAGCTCACCCTGGACGCCCTCCTCTCCGCGCTATCGATCGACAACGTACGTTAGCGATTTAATGTTGAGTTTTATTCGTCTACCTCTGATTCTTCCTTCAAAGGCGGAACCTTCACGTCGCTCGCCGGTGTCGCCCCACGCCGCCACGCCACCACGAGTAAATTGGAAGAACAAAGGCGATGTAACCGCACCACAGCCTCAACCTCTGCCTCAACCACAGCCACAACCACCACAGCAGCCACAGTCGCGGTCACAGGAACACCTGCAACCACGGCCACAACCACGGCCGCAGGCGGAACAGCAACACCACCACCAGGCGCAGTACAAAGGGTACCCCCGCGCCGCTGTCACACGCTTGTTTGCAAAACTAATTGATTGCTGTTGGTTGCTTCTTAGACGATCTCTTCGACTATCATCAACCAAGAAGGTACCTCACACGCGACACACACACACACACTACACACATTACGCTGCTCACGCATCACTCACTACGCGACCACAGATCGCGGAGTTGGAGCAGGCCAAATGTAGAATTCAAACCGTGTTGCGGGAGATCGCCCGGGCTGCGCGCATGACCCACACGTCGGCCATCACCAACAACGGGGATCAACTCAAGAGTACGTGCGCGCACGCTGAATGGACGCCGAGGCGACCTCTCCCCCTCCCAGTTGACCGCGGACTGGACACTCACTCTATCTCTATACAGTGGGGGTCACACAGATCGCCAGCGGCGCACAGACGGCTCTCAAAGAGCACGACTACGGACAGTTCGCTTGCTGCATCCACCTCCTTTGTAAGGTGACCATCGCCGTCCACCAGCATGTACGCGGCCCTCCGCTACTTCGCCAACACCATCATCGTTCGTCATCACCATCAATTCACTGATCCCTTTTGCACGCGACACACACGACAGTTGGATCGGCCGCTACTACAGCAGACACAAGACGCAGCACATGCGGCGCTCGACCTGTTGTCGCTCCTCGCGGAAGCCGAGGTGGAGCAGATGCGGCTGGGCGCGATGGACCCCGTGGCGGCCATCGCCCGTCGAGCCCACGTCAGCCTGGCCGCGCAGCTCACCGACCGCCTGGAGCTGCACCTCTCCCGGTGGGTCGTGCTCGTCAACGAGCGCGTGACGCTGGCCTCCTCGCGCTCGTCGTCGTCGCCGTCTCGTTCTTCTTCCGTCTCCACATCTTTACCATCATTTTCGCCACCGCAATCGCCGCACGCGGCCGAATCGGACAGCGGCGACGTGCACTACCACATCGCGTGCTACCTGGGCCTCGAGGGCATCCTGCGCGAGCGGCAGTCGCTCTACGAGCACCTCGGGCAGAGCCCCGAGCAGGTGGGGGACGACGTCAAGGCCAGCGTGCGACTGACCATCACCATGACCAAGGGCTTGCTCGACGTCATCCGCGTAAATGATGAACAACATCAAGTCACACTCCGGTACATCATCAAACCATGCGTGTCGTTCCATCGTGGTCGTGTGTGTCGCTGGCGTGTGGCGTGTGCTGAAGAGTTGTGATAAAATGGCCCCACAGGCGATTAAAGACGGAGATTGTGAACAAATTGAGGGAATTCACCGAAGCCGCGATGGGCTTCTTGCGAGACTATGACGCCGCGGAGGATCTGGAGCAGGCGCGCGCAGCAGTGCTGCCGGCGCTGGACGACCTCCTCCACGAGCTGCACGACGCGAGGGACTTCATGCTCGACGCCGACATGACCGACGAGGACACGAACGAGCGCGCCATGGCCAACGCGGTGCCGACCGTCCGGCGCATGTCCGATTCCCCGAAGCCGCAGCTGGCGGTACCAGCAACCGTCTCGACCCCGCGCACATCGAGCGAAGGCGCGACCTCGCAGCCTGAGGGACCCGGCGTGCTGACCGACCACGTCAGGAAACTCACCTCCTACGCCACCTTCACTCTTCCCGAACTCTTATCGCTCGAGGTACCCCTTTCCGGGTTGCGTGTGTGCGTGTGTGCGTGTGTGTGGTATGCACGTGTGCGTGTGTGCGTGTGCGGTTAAGCTAACTGTTGCAAAGAATGAGAGGGTGTTGGCAGAGGGACCGCAAACGTTCCGGTTACGTTTGAGCTGCGCGGGACAGTGCGCCATCCAGCTGGCCCACCGGCATCGACCGAAGCAGGCCGGCAGCGCGATCGACACGGTGATGAAGCCCACCATGAACCTCGTCGAGCAGCTCATCGCCGCCGGCTTCGAGTTTAGCGACCTGCTCGCCCAAGTGCTCGCCCGGAAGCAGCGAGCGCTCTACAGGGACTCGCTGGAGGGCAAGTCCACTCGCCGCTCCATGATCGCACCTGTGTCGGTGGAGGCGCTGTTCAACGAGGCCGAGCTGAAGGACTTTGAGGAGGCCATGCGCCGGGCGGCCAAGGTGGTCAAGATCGAGTTGAACCTCCTCCTGTCGCATCTCAAGACCCTCAAAGACGAACACGACAGCGCCGCATCAGGTAAACCACCACCAATCATTCTAAATTCTCGTCGCCGTTGTGGCTCACGCACGACACGACACAATAGGAGAAGGACATATGCTGGCACGACACCCTACACCGCAAGAACCTGCCGCACCACCCGCCCTGCCGCCGAGACCACCCGCCGATCCGGCGGTCGTTGCCGAAGTTCAGGTACTCACGGCTCTCAAAAAGGCATTCTCTGCGTGGCTCTCGTGTCCTCACGCCTCTCTTTCTGTGTCGATCGTGTGCGGCGTGTGCGGTGTGTGCGGTGTGCAGACTGCGGTGAAAGAGATCGTGCAGGTGACCCAACCGATGCTGGAATTCTGCAAGGCCGAGCCGGACGACTTCGAGCCCGGCCGACCGGAGGGCCACGATCAGGCCACCGTCAGCCAGTTCTCCGCGCGCCTCGCCGACCTCCTGTCGCGGCTGCTGGTCCACGTCCCCGACGCCGCCGAGAAGCGGCTCATCCTGCGGCAGGCCCTCGAGGTGGGCGAGGTCGTCAAGCGGTTCCGCGCCGACAAGACCCGGGGCGAGCTCCGGCACTACCTCGTCGAGGAGCATCGCTTCCAGCAGGTCGTCCTCACCATCCACCAGTTCCTCACCACCCTCAAACGCGTCTACGCTCTCCTGCGCGATGGTCGACCATAGTTGGTTGTTTTTTGTTTTTTGTTTATTAACTGCTGTAGTCTCGAAAGATAGTTCGTTGAGTTTGGCTAGCAAGTTGACACGTCTGGCGACCGACGTTCAACACGTGTGGCGCACGAGCACGAGATGGTCGATTGGGCAAAGCCAGCAAAAACAAAATAGAACCGTTAATTAATTGTTGCGTGTTGGCCTGAAATATCCTCGCTCGGCCCCTAAAGAACGAAAGCGACCAGTGGGGGGGAGAGCCGCTCGACTTCCACAACGATTCAGTTCGGGGAGGCCTGGTAAGCACCGTCCGGAGAGAAGGAGGAGCGATAGAACAGCGAAGACAGAAGATTGATTGATCAGATAGTGAACGATTGATCGCTCGGTGAAGACAAAAGATCGGCTCTTGGATTACCGACCCGAATGATGTCGGGACCATCTTCGCCCGTACCTGCGGTATCGCCGCGCCGCAATCCACTACTACAGCTCTACTCGATGATCAAAGATGGTGGGCAGGAGGGAGAACTGCAGCAATTTCTGGCATTGAGAGAGAATGCGATGTGGCTCGATCGTAAGGACTCGAATGGCGAGACGGCCCTCATGGTGGCTACCAAGCACGACCGATTGCGAGAGATGGACATCCTCTTCGATCATGGAGCCAATCCCAACACTGCTAATCCGTACGCCCCCCCTCTCTCACATCTCTCCTTTCTCTACGCGTTCATCATTCGTGAGCAAAAAGCAAACCTCTACAACTTGAGCGGCTGGTTTTCCGCTGCACTCCTTTCAATTCAATCCCAATCTCTTCCATTTTATCCTGCCTTTATCTCCCATCCAATCATCCAATCTATGCCACGCTCGAGCTCGCGAGATCTCAGCATCTGGGCCGCAACAAAATGGGTGAAAACGTTGTTGTTGCTTCGATTCACCGTTGCGCGCGTTGAGTTGTGGACGTGGGTGGCGCTCGACCTCGAGCCGACGATCACTGGACTTGTTCTCGAGATCGGCGCCCGTGCCTTTTCGCTTTCCCTCTGCGCACTTTTCCGCGAGTTCCTCATTGAGGCATGCTTCTCTTCACTTCACAACACGAGAGCCAACATGGCGTGTCTTCCGCTCCATGAGGAGCCCTATCACGACACAACGGCTCTTGGCTTCTCTTTCTCCTTCTCTTTGAGCAGACACAACACACACCGCACACGCACACCGTGTTTATTCATTTATTTATCGATTATTTCTATTTGTTAGTATAATAATAAATAATCAAGTGGAGTGGAGTTGAATGGAGATGGAAGCAGCAGAGAACAACTTCAAGCGACTCCAGCGCTATTTTTCCAGTGTGCATGACGTGCACCATCGTGATGGTGATGGTGAAGCTGACCGCCACCGCGACTCTGCGTCTCCTCTCCTTTCATCTTCTGCCCACGATCTCCCGCACCACAGACAAGGCGAAACGGCCCTCCACATCGCGGTCAGCTCCGGCCGCGTCGACACCGTGCGCAAGCTCCTCGAGCGCGGTGCAGCCGTCAAGTACATTCGCTCTCCCTTCGTTCCTTCTTCTTCGTTTTCTCACCCACTCACGACGACACGACACGACCAACGACACGACACGCGACGCGGGTGCAACGTTGATGTAGCATCTTGGGGCCACAGGGCACACCGCGAGAGGTGGCCGTGAAGCACAACGCGCAAGACATAGTCAACGTGCTCGACGGTACGCATTTTACCACACTTTTAATTATGCAATACAGTTACTTTATTACATCTTTATGATAGACAATTGCTTTATTATCTTTATGATAGACAATTATTGATGATGCCATCCCAGCAAGAATAAGAATCATAATAATAATAAATATTTATTTATTTTTATTTTTTGGTATTTATGACGTTGGGGGTTTTCGCTCCTGGCCGCAACGACTAAAATTGTCCCTCCCTTCACCCGACGGATTCGCGAGCAGCCAAGGGGAACGTCGGTGTGGGAGCCAAGCCACTGCCGGGACTCCCAGCGCGAGGAATGAAGCCGGTCGTAAAGCCGCGAGCCCCCACTGCTGCCCCCACCACCAACTCTCCACCGGCCGCCCAGCCCACCCGCCCCTCCGCGGGTACCACAATAGGTACCGCTTATTTCTTCCTATTTATTTATTCTTTTATTGATTTCTAACTGTTATTATTTATTACCACTTGCCCCCTTGTTCGTCATTGATTTTTGAATTTTTTTAAAATCGTTTTTTCCCTCTACAGCGAGGCCCAGGC